GTGCCCCCAGCAAGAACCGTGCCTCTGGCTGTGCAACTGGAGCCCTCAACAATCATTACCAGCAGTTTGAGCTCCCTGTGGCTTTCCCAGGGCCTAGGAAGGCATCAAACCCCCATGGACCACCTGAAGCCCCCCACCCTGCTCCCACAAGGACCCAGACCACAGCACATCTCCTCCCAGGGCCCTGGGACTTCATATTCTAAGTAGTTTGGAGCAGTTGAACTTGTGCAACAGGCTGGGCCATGGAGCAGTGCTGTGACCCAGCCCCAGCGCGATGCAGCCCCTCACCAGCAGCAGCTCCTGGCAGTGCCACACGCGTGTCTGTGCATGTGCAGCCAACTGCACACAGGCTGTCACCTCCCCTGACAGCGTCAGCTTGCTCAAGTCACCCAGGTCTCAATCCTGTCTGTCTGTGGGCTCTTAACTACTTATCCTGAAAAGGGGAGCATAAGGCATTCTTTCTGTTTCAAAGGAGAGACCCTGTGTACAATTAAAACTTGTTTCTGGTAAACCTCATTCCAGGAAAGATGAGCTTTTAACAAAAGGCTTTTGACAGCTGCAGGGTATTTCATTTTTTTAATGCCAAATGAAAAATCAATACATTTTTCTAGGTTATACATATTCAGAACAGGCTTGATATTTCCATTATAATGGAAAATGGGTGTCTGCACATCTCGCCTGTCAGAGCTGCAGCACCGCATTTTCCAAGCCACTGCTAAATATTTCAAACCTGATTTGATTGTGGTTCATGACAGCTAATGTTTCTCAGCTCTTGAGCCTGCCGGAGGGTGGAGAGGCAGTGCACGCTCTTTCCCTTCCATCCCTACATTTCCGCCACCTCTGAAATGCCCCTTATCCCTTTGGATGAGAGAGCTGGCTTTATGAAGGAAAATCCATCTAAGAGAAGGAGAGATGAGAGGTCTTGGGCTGTTCAAGCTGACCTGGATCCAATTGAGGTTTGCAGATTTCTTCAACCCTCAAACTTCCTGGGCTTTGAAAGTGGCAGCATTGCAGCAGCGTGGTCTGGTGGGGATTCGGGCACATTTTCAGTGTATAACTGAGTCAGAGATTCCCTGGCATCTCCAGATGTCAGTACCCATGATTTTCCAGACTCTTATTCCCCTTCCCCCATCGCCCTTCCCCAGTGAATGGTTTAATTTTAAATTAAAAGGAAATACCACTGTCTAAAATTATTTATTCATGAAGGAAGAAAAGACGCTTTGTAGAATTTTGCATGGAGCGGATTTGGTACGATGTAAGAACAAGCTCCTTGGACTCAGGTGCCCGGTTATACTTGCTTGCTCTTGGTATTGACCTCAACCCCAGCAGCTGGAAAATTCCTTTAAGTAAATTTATTCGTAAAGCATTATGGCCTCGTGGATGGCACTCAGGCACAGGGGCCTGTGTGTAGATTGTGTTTTTTGTATTTCAATGGGACATGATATCCCCCATGCAACTCTCACAGCAGCAGCTCTTGCACCTCCCCTGGTGAGCTCCCTTCAGAGGATGGAGTCCATTTATCCTTCCTGAGCTGTGAAGCTGGAGTTTCTGGAAACCAAAGACACCAGTCTGACACCTGCAGTAGCATCTCTGGCCTTCCAGAGCCCCTTACTAAGGTTCCCAGGTTAGAAGTCAAACCCATGTCCTCTTACAAGCCATCTCCTATGGCAGAGCTCCACATCTCCAGGTTCAGCCTCCCCACTACAGTCTCTGAAATTCCTGGTTGTAGTCCTTGACTGGCAGAGACTCCTATTATACTGCCAACATGCTGCAGGGACTTCTTGCCCTTTGGATATCAGCCCCAACAGGGACACTTGTTAGGATGCACGAGTTTAAGCTGAGTACTATTGTAACTACAAATGGACTGGTGATTTTATCCATCTTGTTAAGTAAAATACAGTCAAGAGGTTAAGTGAATGTGTCCTAATAGTGTGTACAGCCTCAAGGAGGTACGGTCAAACAGTTACAAAAGGGTCACGGTGGTTTGTAGATAAATTGCCTACTTCTTGCTGACCACAGCTTCGTTCAGCCTCTGGGAGCTGGCCATGAGGTGATCTCCACACCAGCTGCAGTTCGTGCTCTGGGTGCTGTGGATGTTAAGGAAGCTGGTGGTCAGCTCTGGGCTGCAGGATGGGAACATCTCAACAATGGGACTTGCAGACAATGAAAAGGGAAGCTCAGGAGCTCTTTGTTGCATGTGCAGTTCCTTGAGGAGAAAAGCAGACCTTTCCCTACCAGATGTGATGCTGGCCTCGTCCTCTCAGAAGGGTGCCCCCAGGAAATACCAGAGGTTGGGTGCCACTCATGCATGTGTTTGCTACCCAGACCTGCCAGTGCATTTGGAGCTGCCACTTGCAGAGCTGTCATCAGGGAGCATGGGTGTAGATCCTCGGGAACAGGAATCCTGTTCTGCATTTTGTTTTCAGTATTGAAGGATCTCACTGTTACAAGCTGGCTTCACGCTTGAGCCCTGCATCCAGCCTGCTGGAGACTGGTTGTCTGCAGTTCAGAGCCCTCCGTAGTGCACATGACCACCTGAGCTGTGGTGTGGCGGAGGATGCTCTCCTGACCATCCCTGGGGTCAGCCTGAGCACTGGTGGCTCTAAGTTGGGCTGAGTGCAATGAGCATAGCTGCACCCAGCCTTCCAAACGAGGCACCCAGGAGTTAAGGCTTCCCCTTCCTTGGTTCACGGTGCCAGGCACTGCATCCCCAGGGCCCAGGGTGTGCTGCAGAGAGAGGAGGATTGTCCTCAGCAAAGGCCCTGGGAGCAAGGAGACACATAGGGACCTTTCCCAGCTGATTCGGAGCCTCCCTGGGCAGATGTGTCTTGTGCTCTGCTCACTTTAACAGAAACACTCGTCAGAAACAATCAGCTCAGAGCAGAGAGAGGAGGAGGAGGTTTGAAGCATGCAGATGCTTTTTTGCATCCCAGCAAAGAGGTGTTGGAGCCTGGGAGGCAGATCTCGTCTTCAGTGGGAAGCCGTGTCCTGGCTCGGGGTGCAGTGGCTGCTCGGTGTGAGGGGCTGTGGAGGGCTGAGCTGTGCCTGAGAGCAGGAGGGGCTGCGGGCAGGAGCGTTTGCTGTTCGTAGCCTTGTTTTTTAATCATTTTCTGCTGTTATTGGTATTCATAGCTCACATTTTTCCTGTTACTGTCAGCCTGGGCTTTCATCCATTTTAAAGAGCTGTTTTTTCCGTTGTTGATGATGATGATGGTATAAAGACAGATGGTGTAACTGCTTATGAATGTCCTATTTTATTCCCCTCAAACCAGACAGTGCACTTGAAGATGTATATTATTTCCACATGCTCAGGTTAGAGCCCAGACAGCGTCTGAGCGGCAGCGGGCTCACCCTTCCTCCCATGCCAGTGCTGACACCTCCGGGTCACAGCCGGGAGTGCCGCCGTGCCGGGCACCCTTTGTTGTTTGAGGGGCTCCGGGTTGAGGGGCAGGAGGGGAGCGTACCCAGCCCAGAGCAGTGCCTGCTTCCCAGGCTGGCCGAGGTGGTTGGGCTGGGTTAGGTTAGGTTGAGCAGTTTGTTGGGTTTTTCCCTACAGTGGAATTAAAAAATACTGGAATTTTAATTTCTGAAATGTGAATGCAGCTGCTGCTTTCACAGCCCTTCTCTGAGCAAACCTGAGCGCTGGTCTCACAGGGCAGACACTAATCTCACCCCTGCAGCAGCAATTTGTGCCTTTGCGTAGCGATGCCACCCATTGCACTTCTTACCCTGGGGTCATGCTTTCCCAGGAGAAGACCATTGGGGATCGCTGCAGCTACCAACCGCTTCCATCTTTTAGAAGCGTGAAGAGAGGTAGAGTGTAAATTACAGTATTCCACTTAATGTCAGTGCTGATCTCTGGGTGCTTTTACAAGTTCCTCCCTGATTTAGGTTGTCACATTCTCAAAGGACACTGCTGAGCATCTGCAGTCTCCGAATACACATTTTTAATCCTGATTTCTAGCCCTGTCTTTGTTAGGGAGAGGCTGGAGGTGGTGCTTTAACTGGTTAGGTAGTTCAAATAAAACCTCAGGATAGCCTGGGATTTACCATGACCAGATAATGCAAGTTAAAATTATAAACTCTCCTGCTAAAAGAGGATATAGTTGCTTAAAAAGTACTCTTCTTCTCAGTGCTGATGTAGCCCCCATCAATTGTGTGGTAGTTGTCGAGCTGCTGCACTGTTCATAAATACCCAAGGTATTTGATGATAATTCACTGTTGGACCCTGGTATACAAGGTCTGGCAGCTGTAGCCACCTCGCTCCCAGTATCCCATGTGGTGAGGAGCAGCCCACGCTGTGTCGACACGCTCTGTGCCTCAGCACATGGGTGCTCTTGTTAATGGTGGGGCGGTAGCACTTTGTGTTTTCTTCTAAACCCTCAGTGCGTCACTGAGTATTTTTTCCCCTTCATGGTTTTCCACCTGTGTGATGCTGCCCGTGTGCTCAAACTCTTCACATGACTGGGATGGAAACAAGACCCCCAGCAGCTTCCTCCCATGCCTTATGTCAGAGCCATGTCTGCAGGACACAGTGCTGCTCCTTGCTTGGCCTGAGCAGAAGTGAACGGTGGTGTTTCTGTGGTGAACTTGGGGGTCTCAGTGACCAAGGTCAGTACCACACAGTGCCTTTCCGTACAGACATCTTGAGATGAGTGTGAAGAAGGCAGCTGAGGCTGAAGGTACTGGAAGCTCTGGTCAATCTTTGACACTTCTCTAATCCATGACATAGTTGGAAGAGCCTTCTCATATTGAGCAAATGTCTTACTGTACATAACACCGCAGTAGCTGTAAGTGGCAGAAGTGGATCTTCATCTCTCACCTTTTTCCGCTGTAGTTTCTTGACTAGCTAGCAGGGAGTGTTGGCAGAGTGCTGGGTGACATTGATAACTACCACTCAACACTTGTGCTTAAACACTGGCTGTTGCTCAATGGCAGTTATTTGCTCTTCTGTTTTGACTTCCATTTTCATGTTACACTTTCTGCTTCTCTTGTTGCAGAAGAATCCATTGAAGATGTGGAAGGGCCCAATGAAACATCTGGTGATGCTGAAGAGCCTGCCAAGGACCAGGAGGGTGGAGGGGACAAGGACCAGAGTAAATGGACAGGTGGGTTTTGGCCACTCTTTAAATCTGGGAAATGAAGGTGGGAAGAGCCACGGTTTGCAAAAGTCTTTCCTTCAGTGTGTGTGCCATGCAGCACTATCAGCCTGACACAAGTGTTGTGAAATCTCTGGGTGAATTTTATGACACATTTCACACAAAATGGTGCAACCACCAACTCAGTGGTCGGTCATGTGTCCTCCCTCACAGCCCTCAGCTTGTGCTGTGGCAGTGGGTTAGAGCTTTCCTGTGCTTGATGGTGCCAGACCTGACCCGGGCAGTGGGATCAGCAGCTGGGAATGAAGCAGGGAGAAGGGGATGGTCCTTTCTGGCAGCAGCCAGCACTTAGGTTGGATTAAGCGTATCATGAAACTCTACCCTTGTGTTGTCAAGACTTGAGAGACTATTAGCCTGCTTTTTCATCACAGTCCTGCCTCTGGTAGTGAGATTTTGACACAGAAGGGCAGTGCAGAGAGGTAGACCCTGTGTCTGTGCTCTGTTAACTGCTCACGTTCTGCTGGAGCCACGACATCTTGAAACAGGAACTGTAGAAGTGCATTGAAACTGACATTGTTGAGGTGGAGTCTGAAAGGTTTCTCTCTGCAAAATCCTTTGTTGGGTTAATTACGAAGGTATTGGGTATCTGTCTTTCCCAGAGGATGGTTGGTATCTTGCAGAGGTAAGCAGGAGGAACCTTTTAAATATTCCTTGCCTTTCAGCAGAGAGCAGCTGAAGATTGTTCTATGGAAAGGGCTGTTCCGTCAGCTGACACTTGCTGACCCCTTCAGTGTTGGGTGCTGGAGCCAGTCCCCATTTTCTTCACCCCAGAATGGAGCAGTTCTGACTCCCCATTCCTGCATGGTAGCCGAGGCAGTTTGCAGACCTGGCTGCCTGATGTGATGCTTCTCGCAGTCAGCACAGGGACCCCTTCTTCCAGGCAGCCGTCTCCTAACCTGTTTGTGGTTGCCTCTTGGTGAGCCACAGCCAAAGAGGTATTTTGGCTAGCACAGTCTTCAGAAGGATGAAATGTGGTCTTTCACCTCAACACAGTTTTAATCTCAACCTGTCTCAGTTTCAGTCAATTGGAAGATGTGTCCAAACTGGTGAAGAAAGCAAGCTCTGCTTTAATGCTTGGTGAAGCTCCTGTTTTCAGTCTAGACTGCCCTCGCTGAGGTTGTATGTCACTCCCCGCAAGTGCTCAGTAAGGATAAGTAGGGCCCTTTGCCGAATCCTGAAGCACTTCCAAAAGCTGATCCATGTGAGAATATATTAATTTTTATATATTAAAACACATAAGAAAGAATTGAAGGACCTTTTTATACCCTTTACTATCTAGATGGTTTTACTTCTCCATCCTGCCAGGGACATTCCTAACCCATTTTTGGTGTTTGTCAGTCAAACAACAGATAAGAAATGGACAGCTTCATCAAGTCTTCAAAGGAAAGCACACAAAGGAATATGCAGACTATGTACATAAGCCCAAAGATTTCTGGACAGGCCTTGTCCAACTCTATTGCAAGGCTGAAGAGTACAGTCTGAGCAAGATGTGTGCACATGATGTTGTTGAATTTGGGTTCTGCTTTCAATCATGTAACATTACTCTGAATTTTAAAGCAAAAAAAAAAAATTTAATCATGTTTATGTACAGCGAAGCAGGTACTACACATTGGTCTTGTATTGTTTCTGCTTTTGAGATCCCTTGGGGAACATGGCCGTGTTGCCTTCTGGACCTCAGACATGGAAAGGACTGGAAACTAGGTCAGGTTATTCATGACAACCACAGAAGATCAGTGTCTGCATGTACAGGAATATCAAAACACCATGGTACAAACTGAGATGTAAGCAGGGAGGGAACAGGCAGCACCAGGACAGCGCTCCCTTGCTGTACTGCAAGAAAAGAGCTGGTCTGCAGCTCAGAGGAGCAGGAAGGCAATCAACCACAGTGTCAGGAGCCCTGAAGAGCAGAAAGCCATTGCGTTCGTGCTCACTAAACAGAGAAGTGTGTGAGAGGCCAGAGCAGCCCACGTCAGTGGTGCTGCGGGGAAAGCTTGTCCCCCAGCTGGGAAGGAACAAGCTTCAGCCTTTAGTTAAGCTGAGTGTTGACACATCAGTGACCTGCTGCTTCATACCTGGGTGCTCTGGGAATGCGACTGAAGCATCCTCAGACCTGTCAGCTGCTGCCTCTGGTGAATTCACAGAGAACAGGGGAGGTCCCGCGAGGGGCCAGGGATGGAGCTTATCTACTGCATAGCTGGGGAACCACACACCTGCCAGCTCCGATTGCCCCAGATTTCCCTGGGAATTGACCAAACAACTGTTTGTAAGTACTGACGGGAAGATAATGAGATGAGGAACAGTCGTCACGGATTTGTCAAGAACAAATCATGTCAACGCGACCCAATTTCCTTCTGTGTGAAGAGAGTCCTCTTTGCAGTCAGTATCTTGCTTTTTTTTTTGGAAGACTTTTGACTCTGTTTTTCAGGACAGTCTGAAAACAAAGCATAGGCATTGTGATGTAGGTGAAAATACTGTGTGGTAGGTGCATTTCTTCAGCACTGGAAAGCTGTCCATTTCTGAGCTTGGGATGTCAAGAAAGTTGAGGAGCAAATTCAGAAAGCCCAAACAGGAAGAATGACCCAGAACAGAGTGTGGTCTGCATAGCATCAGCTGTGAGGAGAATGTGGAATTAATGGGCATATTTGGCCCAGAAAGAGAAGACCAAAGGGGAGGGCAAAATAAGTCTCCTTGTGCATAAAATACTTCTGAAAGTAAGAAATTATTTGTTCTTCATGTTCAGGATATAGACAACAAGAAGCAATGGGCTTACATTGAAGGGAGAAAGATTGAGGTTAGGTAATAAATTAAAACCAAAATCTCCTGATACAGCATGTGAAATCACTGGAGTAGATTGTCTGAGAAAGGTCCTCAGAGATCTTTCAGGAAGGTGCAATGAGATGAGCTGCTGTCAGGAATGAAGTAGGCATAGCTTATCCTGCTTTGGGTAGACTGGCTGACATTTGGAGGTGCCAGGCAATTCCATACAAGTGGGAGATAGGCAAGAAAGAAGTGCGGGCGCCAAGTCAGTAAGTGTGTTGAAGTGGAGGTGGATAGACCTGCTTTCTGTTCATCATGATGCAGTGTGATCATTATGGTCCATAGCAATTTACTCACCTTTTGTGCCTCAGTTTCTTGACTGTGCACTGGGTGATTGTTGCTTCCCCTTTCTTAAGGACTGTGAGACCTCTGAGGACACATTGAGTGTGTCCCAGGCTCCCTCTGCCCAGGGCCAGCAGTGATGTATCACAGCTGTTTGGCTGCTCTGTGGTTCATAGGCCCACATATGTCAGACTGTGCCTGTGTCAGTGTCAGCTCTGGAAGGAAAAACTTCTCTGTTTCCATGCTATGTTTTTCAGAAAGTCTCAGCTGCCAAATAAATCTATCAGTTAGATTTTGTTTATTTTAAAATGGAATAATTTTAAGCAGAACATTTCCTTAGGCAATGCTCTCCATTAAAATATGCATGTGGAAAACACCATCCCAAATAGGGATTCAATTTACCTTGATTTTCATATAAGTCTTTGTGACTCCTCAAAGGTTTCTGGAATGCAGCAGTGCTGTCTGCTTTCTGCAGTGCTCCTGCTGCTCCCCTCGGCTCCCACAGCCAGCCGTGCTTCCAGGCACCAGCCCTCTTCTGTGACTCCTAAGTACTGCATGGAGAGGAAAGAGTTGTGATCCCTGTTCCTAGACAGGACCTGTTTGTTTTCTCTCTTTCCTCTCTCTCCAGCAGCGGGACTAAGCAGCTCCCAAGTGCTGATGGGTGCACTGGGGCTGCCTCTGCCCTGCCAGCTTCCCTCTCTCTCCTCCGGAGCCGTCCCCTCTATGCAGAAGGGAGATGCTCTTTGCCTCATGGCTGAGCTATTTAGAAATTAGCTCATTGTGACTAATGTGAGATTTATCACAAGAAAACCAGCAAGGAAGAAAGAAATCGTGGCTATTCCTGACTCCATTTTTGAGGCAGGATGTGAATGATGAATATTCAACACCCTGGTTTCCAGCTAAAGCCTGAATCAGAGCGGGGGTAGATCAGTAAGAGACTTCGGAGATTTCGGGTGGGGCTTGTATGTGTTTTCTGACTAGAGGGAAGTGCTTCGTCCGAAGTGACCCAGCTATGAAAGGGACTTTCTTAATGCACTCCCAGTTGTATAGATGTAGATATCAGGGTTGGGTTTTTTTTTCCACAAAAACAAGAAGCAGACTCTACTTAAAATATAGATTGAAATGAAATCTTTCTAGAGGACTAGCCTGAAGGCCTTTTATTTTTTTAATGATTTTTTTTTTTTTTTAAATCCATGATGCTTACCTAACAGAGCAATTAGTGCAATGGAGCGTCCCTGATTCGAATCCGTGGTAGATTGCTATTAAAGGAGGTATTAATGGGCTGCCGAGAGCTGGGAAATTGTTGCAGAAAAGTGTGTTTATGGAGTATGGTGCTGGCAGGCAAGATTTCAATCGGATTTGACATGTTTAACATAAATGTATACTGCACAGCTCCTGCAGTTTATGAATAATTCCTACAGGCCTACTGCCTTTCTAATTACTGAAATTGAAAAAAACAGGTCAGGCACATCCTGACGGAAATCTATTACTGCCCCTCCCCCCACCACTGCTTTTTTCTGGTTTTTTTTTAATGTATGGCGTTTGTTGAGCACTTAATGGCTGGGATACTGTGTGGAGCACAGTAAAGACACGGAGAGAGTGGGTTATGAGGGATGGAACAGCTCTCGACCCTGACTTCTGTGTGAAGGAGGCCTTGGAGAAAGGGTGTCTTGGTTTTGGCTGGGATAGAGTTAACATTCTTCCCAGTAGCTGATATAGTGCTGTGCTTTGGCTTTAGTCTGAGAATAATGCTGATAACACTGGTAACACTATTCTCTTGGTAAGTTAGTTGACATATTTATGCAGATGAACTGAACAGTAACTTTCACACAGATTGATAACTGGCTCAAGACCCAAAAAAACCAGGTTAATATAAAGGTTTTTCCTTGTTTTCTTGCAGCCACTTTGTAATTTAAAAAAAAAAAAAACAGTACTTCCCCTGGTTCTAAAGACACCATCGTAGATACCATTGCTGGAAGAAAAAGTACAGTGCTTTAGGGTACCACTTTGTAGAGGTAGGGTGATGGTGGGCACGAGATGGGATGTTCTTCTGTCTTTCCCTCTGCCCTGCACAAGTCTCTGAGCAGCAGAGAGGGAGCTGTTGCTCCTGGGGCAGGGAAACCTCCCAGCTTTGGTTCAGGCTTGTTTTTTTGGCTGTATTTGCCAGGGTGCTGTGCTACTTACATGCCAGGTCAGCTTCTGCCAGAGCCACTGCCACACATAACTGTGAGTGCCTGGGCCCCCGTCCCAGCATGCAGCATGGAAGGGACTCACTGACTCCTGCTTCCAGGTCAGAGCCGGGATGCTCAGAACCTTTAGGATTGATCCGTAACTTCATACATAGAATCACAGAATGGTTTGGGTTGGAAGGGACCTTAAAGATCATCCATTTCCAACTCCCCTGCATGGGTCGTTTTCTCTGCCCTGGTGCCCTGTCTCTTGGTTCACAGCACAGCACTGCACCAGAGCACTGCAGTGGGAGCAGCATCTCCTAGCAGGTCCCAGGCCTCTTTCAGGAGGGGTTGTTCTGCAGGGCTGTGGGGAAGGCCTGTTGTACTCATGATGACAAGGCAAGCAGTGCCTCCACGTGCCCCTTGTGCTGCCTGGCACCTTCACCATGGGGTTTTCTAAGTGCTTTGTGTTTGTACATAGCATGGCAGAAAAGTCTGGTAGTGGCTGGGGCTTGTAATACGAATATTTAATTGTAACTCAATTGTTCATACTCACTGCAGGCTGAAGGTATGACACAGCATTAGAAAAACAAATTATTTGACTGTTTTCAGGGCCACATCTCTGAAAGGTGGTGAAAAAGGCCTGGGTACAAAAGTGTGCTTGCAAGTCTCTGTGTATTTACTTCTGCCTATCATGTGATCGTGTTATTTATCAAATACAGAGTTGAAAAAATACTGTAGAGCAAGAGGCAATATACAGGCCTGTTAGTATGGCTACAACATCTTATTAGAACGAATGGTACCTTCAGGGAATAGGGAATGTAAACAATGTTTTAGAATGAAACCATATATTTCAAGACACGGGATAACAAACGGGCAGCACTGCAGCAGTGCCTGGGTGCACTTTCGGGGAGGCTTGATCAGGGCTCCGAGCAGTCACTGTGGTCTCTCGGTGGCATCACCTTCTTGCTCTGTTAATACAAATTGTGTGTTTCTGCGGGATAGCAACTGTCTGCCAGGGAGGCTGGCACTGAACTTTGTACGCCCTTGTCCTGGGCTCCTAAGCTGCTGTTGATGGAACTGCACGGGGAGTTCTGACCTTGCCCATCACACGGGTGAGGGCTGTGTGTGCCTGAAAGCAGACAAAACGGGACGCTTCAGTCGCAGAATTCAGAAGGAGAGCCACAGCCCTTGGAGGATGCTCCTCCGTGAGATCCATGCAGCAGGACGGCTTCCATTGGGGTATTTCCAGCCACAGCACTCTGCAAGGCAAGTTGGGCTGGTCCATGGGCTTGCGGTGCTGGGTAATTGCTCCAAGAAAACATCAGGGGAGGTTGAGGAGGGAGGCACCACCAAATATGGAATTTTGCTTTCCGTCAGGCACTGAAAGCACAGTTCCCTGGTCCCACAGAAACTTTTTCCCAGGCTGGCTGCTGAACTTGGTAGGAAGGAGTTTGTCAGCAGGCTGGGGGCAGGGAGGGTGGTGTTTCTTAAATCAATGGAGATAGCAGAAACCCTGCTGTAAATTTCTAGGGCAAGTGGCAAGCTGGTTTACGGAATGCAGAGAGATGAGAACCTCTGGCTTACGGAAAGCAGCATGAATTAATAATCATTTAATTGGCTTTTCCATTATGTTGCTGGGTTGGGAGATGGAAGTTTAGATGAAGGGGCTGTCAGTGGTACTTTAGCTAAAAGAACCTGATGGTTGGGAGGTGGGGTGGCAACTCCCTTCCCACCAGGATGGAGAGCAGGCAGCTTTGGGGTCTTTTGCCGGTTTTGCCTCTGGACCTAGCAAAAGAAAGGATCCCCACTTCCAAGGGAGCATCCCATCCCACCTCTGAAATAACGCCCAGAGGATTTCTCCTCCTCTGAAAAGCAGAAGTTTGCTGAGGTAGAGTGAGAAGACAACCAGGTCTCCAAGCAGTGCTGTGGCAGGGCAGTGCCTGCAGCAGCACCGTCTGATTGCACTTGGCTTTCGGGTACATTTATTGAGAAATGCAGATTTTTCTCTAAGGTCAGCAAATCTGAACTAAATCCATTTAAAGAGTCAAAACAGTAAAAATACTGGTACATAGTTGTACATCATACTTTAAACCCTGATCCCTTTTATTTTCTGCAAGGCCTGGACCTCTAAGCCTGATGCTGGATATGGTTAGGGTGCAGACACTGGGCTCCACCTTCCCTGGTGCTGAGCTGCCAGTCAGCACCGAGGCTCCTTTGACATTATCAGCCAAGGACATTCTGTCCCGTCCCCTCGGTGCAGATGAAGGACCTGGCTGCTGGGAGCTGGGAGTGCCGTGCAGTGTGCCCTCTTTTCTGCAGGCAGAAGAGTTCTGAATTCCTATGATCTGTGACATGGACTGAATGTGTCACTTTGTGGGTGGCTGTTTATCAGTGATAAACTTCGGTCTCGGTGTTAGAATTCCCACTTGAGCTGTCAAATAAAAAAAAAAAATGCTTAGAACAAATATTCCACATACGTTTCTCAGAACTCTGCAACAGAGCAGTTATTCTGGGGTCTGGACAATCATTAACAATTCTGAGTTTGAAAGATTAAAGTTATGGGTTGGATCAAGTGCATTTAATAAAACTGGGCACTCTGGAGATGGTAAGTAAAGGAAAATTTTCATTACTTTTACTTTACCCTAATTCTAAGCAGGCTACTTTCCAGTAGAAAGGAAATAAGGAAATGCCCTGTTGTGACTCCAGGGGTTACAGCTAGTGTCTAGTAGCTACGGGACCACTCACACCACACAGGGCTCTGTGTGTTAAGGGTGTTTTAAGGCAGGGTATTCCTCCGCCTGCCACAGTGCTGGCTCCGGTCGTGGCCTCTACCTCCCCAAACCCACCCGGAGGAACTGCTTTCCTCAGCAGAGGAGCAGCACGGGCAGGTCCGCAGTGCTTCCAAGTTTCTTTTGCTCCAGCCACATTTTATTAGTAGGAAGCAATGAAGGCCAGCTTTGGTCCTGCAGGACCAAAAGTCATCTGTAATGACTTTCCAGTCCTGAACCCCAGGGAGGGTGTGGGGTTCAAGTAGTGGGTTGTTCGGAGAAGCAGCCTATCATTCTGTGTTGGTGTCCGTAAGCTGGCCCACCACAGACGTGTTCTACGCAATGAAACTCTCCGTTTGGACGTTTTTGTGGTGTGGGAAGCACGGAGGTCTCCTGTGGGTTTGGAGTCAGGTACAGCCTAGAACTTTACATGGTGCTTCGAGGCTCGGAATCAGCCAGGGCTGAAACAGCTGGCACATGGCAGGGCAACACTGCAGGGAAGGAAATCGCCTCTAAGTAGGCTTTGGCAAGGCCAAGTCTACCAGGAGACAGTCAGTAGTACCAAGCTCCTCTAATCCCTGCCTCCCTCTGGCAGTATTGTTATCTTTTGCAATACCTATTTTCCATCTCCTGGAAGTTACGTTGCCTCTATTTAGCTGAACACTTAGAGTTAGGGTCTGGCAGGGAAGGTGGTTAGAAATGAGGAGTTCTTCCTGTGATGTGGTGCCTTTTGAAATACAGCTTCTGCCAGTGGATGGAGGGTTTGAGAAGGAAGCAGTTTGCCTGTATCTTACTCTGGCAGCATCTTCTGAAACACAGAGCGGATACCAGTGGGTTCACAAAGAGAAGAAGAGAGAAGAGGAAGACTATGGGGGGACTGGTCTAAGAATGCTACAATGCCTTGTTAATCGGCAGCCGATCCATCATATTAAATATCCAGCTGTCATATATTACCTTTCAAGTGAAAATGAATAACTCCCATTAAGGGCGAAATGGGTTTGAAGTCGATTCGAGACAGATTAAAGTACTGTTATGAATGTGTGTTCAGGGAGGAGGAGACGGGGGCTGTGTATAATATACTTGTCCTTACAGTTTTTAAATAATAGATGTCCCACAAATTTATGTACTGCAGGCTGCCAGGGTTCGGGGGAGGAGTAAAGGTCAGGGATGTGCTTCTCAGAGCGCCACAACCTGCCAAGGGCTTTGCTGTTGACTTCTGTGCTCATTTGCCTTTTGTGTTTTGGTGAAACAAAATCCCTTCAGCTTGTTACAGTGTGAGGATGTCCCAGTCCCACCCCAGCACTGGCTGTAGGCTGGGTCTCTGCCACCATGGTTTTGGTGGGACCTTCAGTTGTGTGCCGTTCCCTGGCCATGTGCCGCTGCTTCCAGCACAGACCACATCTCACTTGGATTGACGGCCACAGCTTCCAGCCACCTCCAAGGCAAACATATTATAGAGTGTTCATATGCAAAGCATTCAGTGAGCTAGGAGTATGAGTTCTGCTTTGTCAAGTCAGTCCAACTGCTTGTGGAGCTGACACGTTGGCCTTCACATACAGCCCAGTATTTGTGAGTCTGATGTGAATGCAGAACATGACTTTCCATGGATGGCAACACCTAACAAGTTGTAAGCAGCCCACAGAAATAGCTGAGATTTCTCTGCTTCTAACTATAAATTACACAGCTCCCTTTCTATGAAAGATAGTCAAGAATTAATTTATTTTGGCCAGGCATGCTTTGTAGGATGTATGTTAGTCTACATCCTCCTCCAAGTCTTTGGTATGTGTTTGAAGCAACAACAGCAGAGTAAATGAAGTACTGTCTTTGTCCAACTTCAGCCTCTTTGGGGATGTCCTGATATAAATCTTGTTTTGTTGCAGCGACAGCCAGCCAGGCAGAGAAGGAGCTGACAGAGTCTCCAGCATCCTCTAAACGAATATCGTTTCCCAGCAGCTCTGAGTCGCCTCATTCCTTTAAATGGTCAAAAACTTCAGAGGAGACCAAATCAGAGCAGGTAAGGAAGAAGAGCCCAGCTTTTTGAGCATCTACAATCAGGTAATTTGTTTCATATGTGCCAAAAGCAAAGAATATAATAGGAGAAGGAGGATGAAAGGCGATAACTGGTGGTAGGAGAAGGCATCAAATTATTAAAGTCTAGCTGTAAGGAAAGAGGAAAGCAGCAGCTGTGTCAAGTGCGTGATTCATTTGTCTTGCTCTGCAGATGTATCAGTGTCCATATTGCAAGTACAGTAACACAGACGTGAATCGGCTGCGGGTGCACACCATGACCCAGCACTCGGTGCAGCCCATGCTCCGCTGCCCGCTCTGCCAGGACATGCTGAACAACAAGATCCATTTGCAGCTGCACCTCACCCATCTGCACAGTGTGTCGCCTGACTGTGTTGAGAAGCTCATCATGACGGTAAGTGCTGCATAGTCAAGCATGTCTACTGCCTGCCTAGGACAGATGAAGAATAAAGGGGTGGCCTGACCTGCACGGGCTGACTTTGCTGTAGTGGGCAGCTCCTTCATCTGTCAGGACCCTGTCAATCTAGGTTTTTTTCCATCCCTCTGTGTTTTGTCACAGAGACTATTTTGTCCATCCTTGAGCACTGTGGAAACTGGCAGTGTTTCAGTGTTGAGTAATTTCACTGTGAAGAGATTAGAATAAATATGATTTCCTTTAACTACTGAGGTCATTGCATGGGATCACATTTTGCACAGAAGCTTCTGGGATATGCAGTAGCTGATGTGCTGCGCTGCTCCTGCTGCAGAGGGAAAGTGCTTGTGTGTTGGGCACTTCCCAAGAATGGCAGCGAGGGTGATTAAGGTAACATTACAGGAAATTAGATTCCAGGTTTCTGCCTGAAATATGATTTTAAGAACCAATAGAGTAACTTCCCTTAGTAGTTTCATCTCATGGAGGGGAGGTAGTCCTATTGTGCAGCCTGTGTTCTACACTTCATTCACTTAATGAAGATCATTGTTACAGCTGTGTGAGATGAGCCGGGTATGTGAGGAGTTGCTCCATCCAATATTACCATGGGTTTGTGGTGTAACAATTCCCTTTCAGGGTAAGCTGAACAAGCAAGGGATACACTGCCATTGGCCCAGGGGAACTGGAACCTTAAGGGACTTTTGAATACTAGACCTACTGTTTCAAGTGCTGTTTTTAAAATGTTTGTAAATGCCTGGTTTGAACTCAGAATCTAAGTATAGGCATTTAAAATTCTCTGGAGTAGGAAGTTAGCCACTGAAGTGTGGAGTGAAAGTTCCCTAAAGTGATCTGTCTTCATGTAGAGCTCAAAACTTGTAACAACCCTTCTTCCGGAGCTGTTTTGTCAAACAACCTTGTGTTTCTGTATGGGTTGTTGATAACTATTGCTTGTGGCACTTCCAATGGGCAGCAGAAGGTTCGGATGGCAGATCATGGTTCAGCGCAAGTATGTTTGCACCAGGCTCTTCTTGTGCCCTGCCTCCTTGTTTTGGCACCTAGCATGGGAATACTTCTCCAACACTGTCTCCTAGGAATTGAAATTCATCTGACTTGAGAGCTAGTGCTTGGTTAGAAGTAGCAAATTAACAGTGCAGTGTTCAAGTTCTCATTTTTGAGACCTGGGTTTGTGCTCTGGCTTCAAACACTGTCACTGACCCAGCATCCCTCTCTGCTGCTGGTGTACACGTGGAGCCACTGGACCTCTTCTGTGGACTAGTGCATGCTGTCGTGGTGCCGAAGTGCTTGTAACGGGTTACTGCACTCTCCAGCACTCAGGCACTCACTTCCGTAGATAACATTCTGAGTCCCAGAACATTTCTTTCATTAATTCCCTTTTCATATGTTTCACATGAGTGCGCCTTTCCATTTGCTTGTCTCAGTTCAAGATACAGGTAGAATTGAAAAGACATATTTTCAAAAACCCTTCTAAATTCACAAATGGAATGTATTGTAAGATTTTTGTGCTGTTATTTGTTTGGTATAATCTTCGAGGCAAGATTGTGTTTGCCTTTAAGAACCTGTCAGCAAGTATATAAAATAAGTGTTTATTTTATATAAAAAAGTGGTTTCTTTTTTTGCACCCTGTTTCTTGTTTTCCCCCTTCTTTGCCAGTTCCCGACAGTGGAGGTGAATAACACCATGTCTGTCGTAGTACTAGTGTTCTTTATCAACTCCCCTCCTGTGACATCATCTGAGCAAGCATATGCAGCATTGCCCAGCATTTCTTACAGTTCTCTTATCTTTTCTTTCTATTACTCTCCCAGTTCTTCTGCGGCTCCTTCTCAAATGCCTTTATGCTTTTTATCTGCCTGCTTTACTTTCCCAGCTCCCTGTCCTCTCACTGTCCTGCCCTCTGTCTGGGCCCTGCTGAGGTGTCCTGCACCCTGTGGGCTGCAGGGGCTGGTGGTGACCACCTCTTGACTGAGCACTCCCAACCAACCGTGAGAACCGAACATGCCCCAGGTAGATGCCACATCATACAACCCATTAAAAAACCCAGGCTGACAGGCCCCAGCAAATACAGGGAGTATACGGAAGTAACAAAATACAGGAAGATGGGGAAGAAGAGCACCAGCAGATCACTAAGTCTGTGAACTGGCCATGCCCACAGGCTTGAGCAGGGCACAGCTCAACTCAGCCCACCACTCATGTATCTGGATCAAGGAGCTGTCCCAGCACAACGACCTCAGTCTCTGCAATCTGCATCCCATTTGATTCATGGTGCTTAGTCTGTAAATACCTTCTGAGGACTTGGAACAAATCTTACTAGCTTCTAACAAAATTGATGGAAGACATCTTGGCCTTTTAAGAGCAGTGGACAGAAACTGAGCCCATTTCTTAGGCCAGCAAGTGTAACCAGTTTCCTAAGGGTGTGTGTTACTCTGGTGTGAAATGGTGTGTCTCTGAGCTGGGCTGTTGGCAGAACACAGTCTGGGACGGGTGCAATTGGGCTGATCCATCTTCTCTGCCTAAGCGCTCTGTGTCCTGCAGGATACAGGGCAAGCACTCATTAGGAGCTGGGGACACTCCGCAGAGGATGTGTCCAACGTAGCTGTAGTTCTGTGGAGGACAGTCCTAATAGGTGAGCCATCTACTGAGCTGGAGCAGAGCCTCATTCCGCTGCTGTGGAGCACAGGACTTCGCTGAGAACTGTAGAGTCTGGCTTAGCCATGAAGATCATCCTCCTGCTCGTTCCTGTTTTTCCACCTGGCCGTTGCCACTGGCCCTGGGCAGCTGTTCTCTTTGGTACCTAGAAATATATATGCGGAGGAAGATTGCTTTTCTTGCTTCAAGTCAAATAGCATGTAGGTTGAGAAGGTGGTTCTTTTTTGCATTAAATGACAAATATTTTGAAATCACTATGGCTTCATGAAGTCATGTGGCAAAATGAAAGGTTCCTAATTTGCTCATTTTAGTTGAGATTCCTGTCTCAGTCTGACATGTGAATTGGGTCTTGGTGCCACCATGAGGGAATTGCAGTCCAGTAAATGGGAGCCAGGTCCCTTTCGACACAGCATCTTTGCGCTGGGTGTTTGGAGGAGGCTCCAGTTAATAATACCTTATCAGACGCCTTTCAGGAACCTGCAGTGTCTAATATGTCTGTTGCCATAGTAACGCTGCTTGCTTATGCTCAGCATCCCAGAGCTGGCTGTTCCAGGCTCCATCCTTTCGTATCAGCAAGCAGCCAGGCTGGCTGTCCCATGGGATGCCAAGTCCTCCCCGCTGGCCCGACTGCTGGGACTGGGGCTGCAGAGAGTGGTGAGCCACATGAAATGCTCCCAGGTGGTGTGGAGCCCCGGGTGCACCATGGGGCAGGGGCTCCCAACACCCTCCATTTCCTGCAGCTTCCCTTCCGTGGGGCTGGTGAATGGAGGTGGTCAAGTTCATTTCATGTGGCATTGTAGCCACTCCAAGTGGGTGTAATCGCTATCTTTCCACATAACAGCCTTTTGGCTAATCTGGGGCCTGCACCGCTTCAGCAGAGAGCCCCTTAATGAGGGTGAAGTGCAGTTTGTCGGCACAGTCGATTGACAAGACTGATGGGCTTGAGCCAGGAGAAGGGAGAGCTTCCCAGGAGCCTCCGGGAGCGGGGAGCTCTCCCTCCTCCCACAGCCAGCTTTATCCTTCTGCACATTCCTCTCCCATCATTTCTGTTGTCAGTTTTCTCTTCCTTGGCTTAGGACATATTCCCAGTGTTTCAGCCATCTTTCCGTCTTTTTCTGCTCTCCCTTGGCCTTAAGAGTAATTCTTGCCAGTCTCTGCCATCCTTACTTCTTCCTCTTGCCATCTGTACATTTTTTCCCTCTTTCCTATTGTCTTTTCTTACTGCTCTCTCCCTTCTGCTGTCATTCAATTTTTCTCTCTCCCTCCTTCTCACCCCCTCTCACTCCCCCCTTTCCCTCTCAGTCTCTGTCTCATTCTCCATCTAGGATGAAGGTAATGAAAATAATCGGGCTTCATTAATTCTGAGCCCTGTGAGATGATAGCCATTTGGAGCCATGTTTGCCAATTAGATGGTCTAAATTAGAAGTGACCTTGGTATACTGCCATCGCTTTGCTTCTCTGAGTCTAATGAAGCTTTTCACTCCAGCACCCTCTCTCTCTCTTTGTAATGGAAATTACCTCCTTTGTCTGGTTCGGGAACCTTGCATTGCATGTGTGTTTCCCCCTGGTTGCATGGACATAGGGATAGTAATGTACCTCCTCAGACCCCTTTGAGAGATTTGCTTTTCAAAGCTGCATGATATCAGTAGCGTGGGGCATTTCCAGAGGAACTGCATAGACTGTCCACACCTTTGGTCACTCAGTGCAGAGGAAGGTCAGAGCAGGCAGATCGAGCGCACAGGGGGAGCTGGCTATTCACCCTGTACAAGATTAATTCACTGAACGTGCCAGGAATATCCTTGTGTCACGCCGCCAGGGCCAGCACAGGAGGGGGTTCAACTCAGAGCCTCCAGCCAATGCTGATAACAGTTCTGCAGTTCATCATCTTAAAGATCTGGTAGAGTCAGGAGTGGCAGGAGCCACACATGTCACTGCTGTAGGTTGTCTCAGGTGAGGAGTGGACCTGAAGGTTGTTCTCCAGACTGGTGACAGGTCTGTAGGTGTAAGGACATGTGTGATCTGCTGGGGTCCTTGTGGGGAAGGGGAGCCGGGGACATGGCATGTCCGCCCTTGGGTGTTTTGTACAGTCAGTCAGTGGACCACATTGTGTATAGAAATGGCCACCAAATTGGGGTGCCCATGTGTGTCACTGAATCTTGTCATCATAAAGGAATTTTGTCTCCTTAAGGGGATCTGAATTCCATAGAAAAGGAGGGTCCTTGGAAACAGAGAGGCTTTTCTCAATAACTTCCCATCTAGGGCAGGTAATCGGCTTCTCTGTGGTCTGCTCTAGAGGGAGGTTGCCTAGCCAGCATCCCCATCTCCAGTACAGACCAAGGGGAGATGTTTCAAAGTGGGGCACAGGAGGGACTGCCAATCTCTGGCACAGACTTCCCCCTCCTTTGCTCTTTTCACTGCAAAGGGGATACAGTTTAATTTTAGAGCAAAACGAGTGTGTGCAGGAGGAGGAAAAGAAGGCAGTCACATTTGTTGAACTTGCATCTGTAGGGCTGTTTTTTTAATAACAATTCACAGTGATTGACACGTTGCCGTTGGGAAACCGCGTTGAAGAGACACTGAAACAGGGGGATGGAGAATGCCAGCATTTCATGCCAGGTGTTGTCTGCTCAGGTGAGAGGGAGGTAGAGATCACTGAACAACCGCATGCACTGACACATGCTGTGCTCAAGATAAAGACGTTCCCCTCTATCACCAGAACAGTTAATGCCATTTAAATACATGTGAAGTAGAAAATGCTATGTTGTAGAACACTGCTCCCTGTTTATCTGCTGGTGGCCGTGGTCTACTAAACCTTCCTGTCCCCTGGTACTCACAGCATTTGTTTATATTAAAAACAGCCACGATGTGCAAGACATTTTCTGCACGTACAAGGAAATGGTGTATCCGTGGATGGGTTTGAAGTGTAAAAGGACAAACGGTTCAAAATAGGCAGTCTAGAATCCACTGTAAATGTAGAACGATTGAGATGTGCGGCAGCCTCTTGTCACTGTTCCTATTTGTGCTATGTGCTTAAGGGTGGTTGTGGGGATAAAGACACAGAGTCGTTCTGCCCTAAACAATGGCATAGAACGGGCAGCACTTTGAGGAGAAGCCTGAATGGTGCTTAGCGGATAGAGGACTGACGTGATCTAGTTGCTGAAGCAAGACCAGTGCCTTGTTTTCAAGGTTTCACAGAGGGCCAGCTCTCTGTGGATGGCTGGACTGCCTGCAGTTGCCCTACATCCATATCCAGAATTTCTAGTTTCCTGTACTTTTTTCAAAGGCTTTTCTCTGTTTGCCTTTGGGGATTTTGTGCCTGTAGCAATTCGGGGCACCACAGCCTCTTTTCTTCTTTCCACCTTTTTTTTTTCCCCCTTTTTTATTGTGGAGGGAGGGGTAGAAGTAGGGTGGGAACTGTGGCTATGGAGATGCAGGTAGATAAAGGTAATTACTTAAACACATATAGGGCAGGACTTACTGGTTTGGAGCCCCAGATTAAGATGCAGAGGAGCATGTGAGGTTGATGATTATATTTCGGGGAGAGTTAATTGACGGAAGGTGAAGGCAGACAAAGAACCGCTGCTTACTGCCTTCTTGAATCCCAATCAGGAATTATGATTAAAGACACGGCGAGACAACAGAGGCCTGATGAATTGGTGTCTTTTTTTTTTCTTTTTTGCCGTCATTCACACTTGATTGACTTCAACCTTTCAAGTGCAAAAGTCTCTCTTTTCCATTATTATTCATAGCCATCTGAGTTTTTCTAATTAAAGTGTATGAAAACAATTACTGATCCATCGTACTGAGTGTGGTAGTGGGGATGGCTGCCTTACTGTAATACGTATAAAAAGCCCACAGTTTCTATAATGATGTGCAGCTGAGGTGTTAGATAATTTTATTCTTTTTCTACTCTGTTGGGGTTTTTTTTAATTTCTCCTGATTTATTTTTTGTAATTCCTAAAGATCCTAGGAAAGCGCTCTCCCTGCTGATAAAGCTGAGAGGGACGTCTCCCTCTCGCCTTCCCCCCTCTACGTCCTGCTCGTCCCCCTCCTCCGAGCCCTGCTACCAGGAATTAACTGGTGACCTTTCACGTCTTCCAACCCACCACCCACAGCCATCAGATGCTCCCGCTTAGAGCAAAAGGTGGAATGAACATGGTGTGCTCAGCTTCCCTCCCAGTGATTTATCAGGGTCAGCTGCTCTTCCTGCAGGCACCAGTGAGACCTAGTGCTCACCCCTGTGCACCAGTTGCCCCAGTAAAGAGGGGAGCTCAGCACCCCTCCCCATCAGGGGTCAGATGCCTGCAACCCCTCTACACCAGCATCTGTGTCTGAGGTTTTTCATGGACTGGTTTTGCTTCCGTTCGCTTAATGAAGCCAAGGTCTAGTCTGTGTTTGCTTGGATTTGACACGTGTATAGATAAGGAAGATTTCATGTCCTGCACATAGGTTTACCTTCAGCTTCACCACAGATTTGCTAATACCTCATTTGGTTCAGTCCGAGCCTTGTGGTCCTTGACTTTGCAGAAAGCAAGGTAAACGATGTGCAGGTAACAGCTTCACTCTCTTCTGTAGTCCAAGGTTCAAATGCCCTCTGACAGAAGGATGGAGTGATGTGTTTTGCTAGCGTACATACCCATTTAGGAAGGTTTATTTATGCCTTACTTCCCCAGCAGCCAGAGGCTGGGAGCCGAAGCACCACAAGCATTGCAACTCAGTGTTGGTTCCTGTTCCTTCAAGTACCACAGCCCTGGTGAAAGGACAGTGCTCCCTGAGCATCAGTGGGGTGAGGCATGCAGCCACTCCAAGCTGTAGAGATGTCTTCACTTGCCACTGGCATCTAACCAGTGCTGACAGACCTGCACTGGAATACAGCGCAGATGGTGATGGTGGCGTGGGTCTGTCTGTGCAGTTGCTGCTCTGGGAGAAGGGCTGTGGGCAGCTTTTCAGGTGGTGCCAGGTACTGGTCTGGATGTTCAGAAGGTTACATACTGTCTTGTGTCCAGTGCCAACCATGTGCAAATTGCTGGTGAGGTATTTTGTATGTTCTGTGTGTGACTGGGTACACCCAAAGAAACAGTTTTCCAGAAGAAGATGAGCATGTGCATTTGACTCTTTCAAAGAGCATCTCCAGTTGAAGCACTCTCCAGCTCTTTGAAACTGTTGATGTTCAAGCACTGTGCTGGTTACGGTGGTGCAGGTTATAGACAAACACCTGAAGAGAGGTGAAGGGAGCACATCAGTCAGAGCAAGGAACAGGTTACCAAAAGCTTTGCAGTTTGCAGACAGTTTGCTTTCTTTTTAGTCTTTTCTTATTCATCCTTTCCTTTGTCACCTCTCTCCTTATTTGTACTTTTCTTTCTCATGCCCCTCCTTTTCCTGCATGGATACACTTTGAAAACAGTGCTGCAATGCTCCCTAGTTCAAGATTACAGTGTACTTTACGAGGTATGATTTAATTAGGGGCCTTATTATGTTTTCAGCAGCTTAAGGTGGGCCTTTCAACTTATCTACCTAATTGGTTGCACAAGAAGTTTCACAGCCCATGACAAAACATTGTCAGTGATCAAAGTCTGAATTCTACATAAAGGAAAAATATTAATAATAAGATTATTCTTCAAGTGTGCACTGCTAATTATGTCCAGAATGTAACTGTAGAAACACTTTTGACTGATGGGAGCTTTGTCTAATAAATGTGAGTCTTCAGTGAGCCATGAAAAGTGACGCCTCTGACTTTACAATTGTGGTGTCTAATTTTGCCACTGAAGATGTGTAAAATATTTTCCTGTGTTTCTCTTCTCCCCACATCCTTTCTTCCCTTTCTCCAGGTGACAACACCTGAGGTGATGATGCCTAGCAGTATGTTTCTCCCAGCAGCCACTCCAGAAAAAGATGGGAACTCCGCTGCGGAGGAGCTGGGGAAGCAGCATGGTGAGTGCTGATCACTGAGGTCCATGAGTGCCACCACTCCCTCAGCTTCCATCACCTGATCAGGGCTTGTATCTGGGGACGCCTTCACATGGATGAACTTCATATGCCCAGCTGTCTCCTGAAAACTGCAGTGGGACAGTTCCCAGCAGGGCCGTCTCCCTTCATCTGTGCCACAAACAGTCTGGTGCCCCAGGAGTTCCCATGGCAGGGCAGCTCAGAGCTGAGGAACACAGGTCACCAGTGTGGCCATTCATATAGAAGTGGTGTTGAATCCTTGCAAAGGAAGGACCAGATGTGAGTGGTGAAGAGCAGAGGTGGTGGAGGGCTGAGGGGATCCAAATAGAAATGCCAAAGGTGTCAGCTGCTGGCTGGAGACTGTGCTGCTGTATCTGCTGTACCTGCTCCGCTGCCATCACAGCTCAGTACAGTCTCTGGGCATACTGTCTGAGGAGCTTTGAACTGCTGAAGTCCTTCTCCAGCCAAATCTCAGCCTTTTTCATTGCCATGCTGCGTTATGTAAGCATGGCTGTAAATCCATGCCTATTTAGTCCTGGCTTTGTTGTGTGATATGAGAGCATCCCAAGAACATAGCTCTGCATGGGGAGAAGAGTCTGGTGTCGGACTTGGCAGGGGAGCAGTGCCTGTCTTCCTTCTGTGCCCTCCTGGAAGGTCTGTAAGGAATCAGGGAATGAACACGGTGTCATTTCCTTTCAGACAGACAGCTCTGAGGCAGTGATGCTGGTGAGGCAGCACTGGCACATCCAGGGTAGTTAATGCTGTCCTGGGCAAGGGGATCTTTTTTTGGCCTCTACCTATATCAGAGTTTTCTCCAGCAGGACTGTGCTCTTAGAGCCTGGGTAAGTGGCAGTGCACTGAGTGGTTGTTCCTTCTTCTCCCATCTTCCCTCAGACAGCACATTTTGAGCTGCTGCCAGAAGGACCCACATTTCATTCCTATTGTTTCTAGCTTTGGAAGTTCCAAGACCCAAATACTGCATTCAGTCTGATGAACTTTCTTATTGGAAAATAGGCAGAACATCAAAGCAAAACAGCAAACATGCACAGGTGGCTGAATGTCCTTCACTTAAAAGGAAGCATTAAAGGTGATAAATTCACTAAGAAAATGTGTGTGTGTGTGAACAATTTCCACATATTCATAGTGGGCGAAGCAAAGTAAATTGTGTAGGTTTTTGCAATGGGCCATGATGATGATAATGGGCTGTTATTAAAATAAATGAATGAAGATAGAGAAGTGTTAGAAATACCTATCGTATTGCAGAGAAAAAACATGGACTTATTAAGGACAAAAAGAGGGCATTGATCTGCCCCTCTGTGCTGGTGTAATTGTCAGGTTTGCTCTCGTTCTGTTTTCACAGAGATCCCTGAGGACTCAGGAAAGGGTCTTCTGCCATTGGACAGCACAGAGCACACCGGAGATCCCAAGCCGGTTCTGGCCGATCCAAGCTCTGCCAGGGAGGACTCCAGCTTCCTCTGTTGGAAGAAAGGCTGCAACCAGGTGTTCAAGAGCTCGGCAGCCCTGCAGACACACTTCAATGAGGTCCATGCAAAGCGGCCTCAGCTGCCGGTGTCCGATCGCCACGTCTACAAGTACCGCTGTAACCAGTGCAGCCTGGCTTTCAAAACCATTGAGAAGCTGCAGCTTCATTCCCAGTACCATGTCATCCGGGCAGCCACCATGTGCTGCCTCTGCCAACGCAGCTTCCGAACCTTCCAGGCCCTGAAGAAGCACCTGGAAACCAGCCATCTGGAGCTGAGTGAGGCTGACATTCAGCAGCTCTATGGTGGTCTCTTGGTCAATGGAGACCTCCTTGCGATGGGTGATCCTTCGCTTGCAGAAGATCACACTATCATAGTTGAGGAAGATAAGGAGGAGGAGAGCGACTTGGAAGATAAGCAGAGTCCAACAGGTAGTGATTCAGGGTCAGTGCAAGAGGACTCTGGCTCAGAACCAAAAAGGGCCTTACCCTTCAGAAAGGGCCCTAACTTCACTATGGAGAAATTCCTAGATCCGTCTCGCCCATACAAGTGCACAGTCTGCAAGGAGTCTTTCACACAAAAGAACATTCTCCTGGTCCATTACAATTCAGTTTCTCACCTGCATAAACTGAAAAGAGCCCTCCAAGAGTCTGCTACAGGGCAGCCTGAACCGACCAGCAGCCCAGACAACAAGCCTTTTAAGTGTAACACCTGCAACGTGGCCTACAGTCAGAGCTCAACCTTGGAGATCCATATGAGGTCTGTCCTGCACCAAACCAAGGCTCGCGCTGCCAAACTGGAAGCGGCTGGGGGCAGCGGCAGCAGTAATGGAGCTGGCAGCAGCAGTAGCAGCAGTCTTTCTTTGGGTTCATCCACACCAAGTCCAGTGAACGCTACCAACAGTAATACTTTTACAGCCACCAACACAAGTAATTCGGGCCCAGTTCCCATTCCCAGCCTGCTCAACCAGGTAGCCAGTGACAACATGGGAATTCCTACATTAGGTAACCCTGTAAGCGCTAGTAGCTCCTCTGCTTCGGAGCCCAAAGAGGTAAACCGAAAGAAGTTGGCAGACATGATTGCATCGAGACAGCAGCAGCAGCAGCAGCAGCAGCAGCAGCAGCAGCAGCAAGCTCAAACCCTGGCCCAGGCCCAGGCCCAAGTCCAGGCCCATCTGCAACAAGAACTGCAGCAGCAGGCTGCTCTTCTGCAGTCCCAGCTCTTCAACCCAGCACTTTTGCCGCACTTTCCAATGACCACTGAGACCCTTCTGCAGCTTCAGCAGCAGCAGCATCTTTTGTTTCCTTTCTACATCCCTAGTGCCGAGTTCCAGCTCAATCCAGAAGTTAGTTTGCCTGTCACCAGTGGTGCGCTGACATTGACTGGTACAGGTCAGAGTTTGCTGGAGGACCTGAAGGCTCAAGTTCAGATCCCTCAGCAGAGCCATCCACAGCTCTTACAGCAGCAGCAAGGCCAGCTCTCCTTGTCACAACCTCACTCCGTCCTTATACAGAAGAGCCAGCACCCTGAGAAGAAGAATAAATCCGTACTGAAGGAGAAAGAAAAAGAAACCCCAAGGGAAAGGGAAAGTGCAGAGAGGGGAGACAGTAGTGTAGCATCTAAAGAGTCTCTACCTGATAACTTAAAGCCCAAAGAAAAGAAGGACTTTGTACCAGGCAGTAGTTCAGAGCCTTCCTTACTGCCGCCACGCATTGCCTCTGATGCAAGAGGGAATGCCACAAAAGCCTTGCTGGAAAACTTTGGCTTTGAGCTTGTCATTCAGTATAATGAGAACAAGCAGAAGGTGCAGAAGAAAAATGGGAAGACAGAGCAAGGTGAGAACTTGGAAAAGCTCGAGTGTGACACATGTGGCAAGTTCTTTTCAAACATCCTCATCCTGAAGAGCCACCAAGAGCATGTTCACCAACATTACTTTCCCTTCAAGCAGTTAGAGAGATTTGCCAAACAATACAGAGAACACTATGACAAACTGTACCCACTGCGGCCTCAGACCCCAGAGCCACCACCACCACCTCCTCCGCCACCACCTCCACTTCCTCCAGCACCTCCTCAGCCGGCTTCAACTCCTACCATCCCTACGTCTGCCCCACCGATTACCTCTCCTACGATCGCACCAGCCCAGACATCTGTGCCGCTCACCCAGCTCTCCATGCCAATGGAGCTCCCCATCTTTTCACCACTGATGATGCAAACCATGCCACTACAGACGTTACCTGCGCAGCTGCCACCCCAGCTGGGTCCTGTAGACCCTCTGCCTGCCGACTTGGCCCAGTTGTACCAGCATCAGCTCAACCCTAGCCTTCTCCAGCAGCAGCAGAACAAGAGGCCACGGACGCGGATCACCGACGACCAACTCAGAGTCCTTCGGCAGTATTTCGATATTAACAATTCCCCGAGTGAGGAACAGATCAAAGAGATGGCGGACAAATCTGGACTGCCCCAGAAAGTGATCAAGCACTGGTTCAGAAACACTCTTTTCAAAGAACGCCAGCGCAACAAGGATTCCCCATACAATTTCAGTAATCCTCCCATTACCAGCCTAGAAGAACTGAAGATAGACTCACGGCCTCCTTCTCCAGAACCTCAAAAGCAGGAGTACTGGGGAAGCAAGCGGTCCTCCCGGACACGCTTTACTGACTACCAGCTCAGAGTCCTGCAGGACTTCTTTGATGCCAATGCTTATCCAAAGGATGATGAATTTGAGCAGCTTTCTAACTTGCTGAACCTCCCAACACGTGTTATAGTGGTGTGGTTTCAGAATGCCCGTCAGAAGGCTAGGAAAAACTATGAGAATCAGGGAGAAGGCAAAGATGGGGAACGACGGGAGCTTACAAATGACAGGTATATTAGAACAAGCAACTTGAACTACCAGTGCAAAAAGTGCAGTCTCGTATTTCAGCGCATTTTTGATCTCATTAAACACCAGAAAAAGCTTTGTTACAAAGACGAGGATGAGGATGGACAGGATGATAGCCAGAATGAAGACTCTATGGATGCAATGGAGCTCTTAACTCCAACCAGTTCCTCCTGCAGCACACCAATGCCCTCACAAGCTTACAGCACACCTACATCTTCAGCCAATGCAACCTCCTCAGCTTTTCTGCAGCTCACAGCAGAGGCAGATGATTCCTCCACCTATAGTTCTAAAGTAGAAGCTACAGAAGAGAAACCAAAGCAGCCTGAACCTCCAAGTACACAGCAAAACCAAACTCAAGAGAAGCAAGTGCAACCAAAGCAAGAGTCTCAACAGCAACAGGACCAAGGAGAACAAAAGACAAGTTCAGCACACCAAAAGATTTCACAGTTATCCTCCCCTTCTTCATTGCAACAGCCACCTCCCCCTCCTCAGCCCCCTCAGTGCTCCTTGTCACAGTCAAGCCCAAGTCCATCTCAGCTCTCGCATCTCTCCCTCAAACCCATTCATACATCCACCCCTCAACAGCTGGCAAACCTACCTCCTCAGCTAATCCCATACCAGTGTGACCAGTGTAAGCTGGCATTTCCTTCATTTGAGCATTGGCAGGAGCATCAGCAACTTCATTTTCTGAGCGCACAGAACCAGTTTATCCACCCCCCATTCCTGGACAGAACCCTGGATATGCCGTTCATGCTTTTTGATCCCAGTAATCCACTACTTGCAAGCCAGCTGCTATCTGGGGCATTACCACAAATTCCAGCAAGCTCAGCCACTTCACCATCAACTCCAACATCCACAATGAACACACTGAAGAGAAAGCTGGAAGAAAAGGCCAGTGCAAGTCCTGGAGAAAATGACAGTGGGACTGGAGGAGAAGAACCACAAAGGGATAAACGTCTAAGGACTACGATTACCCCAGAGCAGCTGGAAATTCTTTATCAGAAATACTTGCTCGACTCCAACCCAACGCGGAAAATGTTGGATCACATTGCTCATGAAGTGGGCTTGAAGAAACGCGTGGTTCAAGTTTGGTTTCAGAACACGCGTGCACGGGAAAGGAAGGGGCAGTTCAGAGCCGTAGGGCCTGCCCAAGCCCATAGACGGTGTCCCTTCTGCCGAGCTCTCTTTAAAGCAAAGACAGCTCTGGAAGCTCATATCCGATCCCGTCACTGGCATGAGGCCAAGAGAGCTGGGTACAACTTGACATTGTCTGCTATGCTCTTGGATTGTGATGGGGGACTGCAAATGAAGGGAGATATCTTTGATGGAGGAAGCTTTTCCCACATGCCACCAACAAGCAGTGATGGACATACTGTTCCTCTCTCCCCAGTGAACAAGAGCATGGAACTGTCACCTCGAACTCTGCTGAGTCCATCCTCCATTAAGGTTGAAGGGATGGAAGACTTTGAGAGTCCCTCCATGTCCTCAGTCAATCTGAGCTTTGACCAAACAAAGCTGGACAATGATGACTGCTCTTCTGTCAACACTGCAATCACAGACACTACAACAGGAGATGAAGGGAATGCAGACAATGATAGTGCCACAGGGATTGCAACCGAAACCAAATCAACATCGGGACCCAGTGAAGGTCTCACAAAAGCTGCCATGATAGCAATGTCTGAATATGAAGATCGTCTGTCTTCTGGCCTGGTCAGCCCAGCTCCCAGCTTTTACAGCAAGGAGTATGATAATGAAGGTACTGTGGACTATAGTGAAACATCCAGCCTTGCAGACCCCTGCTCACCCAACCCTGGTGCAAGTGGTTCAGCCAGCAAGTCTGGAGAGAGTGGTGATCGGCCTGGGCAGAAACGCTTTCGCACTCAGATGACTAATCTCCAGCTAAAAGTTCTTAAGTCATGCTTTAATGACTACAGGACACCTACCATGCTGGAGTGTGAGGTCCTGGGCAATGACATTGGACTGCCAAAGAGAGTTGTTCAGGTCTGGTTCCAGAATGCTAGAGCAAAGGAGAAGAAGTCCAAACTCAGCATGGCCAAGCATTTTGGTATAAACCAAACAAGTTACGAGGGACCCAAAACAGAGTGCACTTTGTGTGGCATCAAGTACAGCGCTCGACTGTCTGTACGTGACCATATCTTCTCTCAACAGCATATCTCCAAAGTTAAAGAAACCATTGGAAGCCAGTTGGATAAGGAAAAGGAGTATTTTGACCCAGCTACTGTACGTCAGTTGATGGCTCAACAGGAGCTGGACCGGATCAAAAAAGCCAATGAGGTTCTTGGTCTGGCAGCTCAACAGCAGGGCATGTTTGATAACACCCCTCTGCAAGCTCTTAACCTTCCTGCTGCATACCCAGCACTACAGGGCATCCCTCCAGTCTTACTCCCAGGCCTCAACAGCCCATCCTTACCAGGCTTCACTCCATCCAACACAGGTGGGTATGGATATTATCACACTGCTCAGAGACACAGCTTAACTTGACACATCTTTAGCACAAGCAGACGTTCTCTTGAGGAATGGCTGATACCTGGCCCTTTAGTGGAGTAGATTTGACATCAAATGAGCAATAGGTATTTTATCTTTTAATTCCTGAATTTGGGTTTTCTAGCCAAGTCTGAAATAGAACAAGATGTAGACATTTTGTATATCTCTTTTTCCTTAGCACAGACTAAAAATGCTGAAGCACCTTTGAAAAAATGAAGAATAAAGGCTTTATCAAATGGAACAGGAAAAGGGCTAATGTGCTGAATGCATTGTTCATTATACCTTTCATTTTGCTATTAAATTCAGTTTATGTAGTGCCATCCCAAATTTCCACTAACTGTGAACTGTTTCTAGGCAAAAGTGTGATGTGCCTGGTAGCACTGGTGACAGACTCCTGGAGCATCTTAATGTAATATCCTTATGGTGACCTCCAGGACTAATCCCAGTGCAGCCGTGGGTTGGTTTCTGAGTCATGGCTGGATAAAACCTGAAAGTACCTTCTTAACAAACAGTGGTGTAGTCATGGGTCATATCTACTTTGTATTTTAGTAACATTTTTTCAACAATACTTCATAAAAATAAAATTTGTCAGAGTCCTTTGGGTGGCCTAATCCCAGATAATGGACTTTGTTTTTTTGAGGATGTACCTTTTCTGTGTACCTGGTGAATACGTGGAGTGTGTAAGATTTGTCGCAAACACTGGTGGTGGAAGATACTGCTCACTAGACTAGCAGTGGCCTAGAAAACATGATCCAAGAGCCTTGTTTACCGCCTGCTACATCGATGGCATCCCAGGGACATGCCTGTGTCTGAATTCCACTTGTAACAGTAATTGATGTTCTCTCTGAGGCTTACTTTCACTTGGAAGACTTCCCCGTTACTTCTGATGATCCTTTTTCAAGTTAACTTTCACCAGGGCTGATTTACATTTACAGAGATATACCAAGAACTGAGTCCAGTGTCTTGTCTCCAGAACAGGCTTAGTCTGTCTCGGGTTGGAAAGCCTGTGGCACCATAACGCCTGGTGCAGTTACACCAGATGCCACTGTGCATCCTTGTTTTCTGCTCTGCAGCTGTACAGGTCTGCCTTTAATAGAAATAATAATGGTACAAGAGTTCTCAAGAACAAGGGTTCTCCAGGTTCGGAAACAGGAGGAAAGGTATTGGTGGCTTCAAGAGAAACACCTGGTTTAAGAATGGAAATCGAGGACGTGATTTTAACAGTCTCTGATACAGATGTGGGACTGAGCTGACTTTTATCAAAAAGTAAAAAGTCTGATTAACATTCCTTTTTGTTCTTTTTTTGCTTGATAAAGCAGCCTGTCTTTGCATATTCTTAAAAATCATGTTTGCTGAAATGATAACTTTCTCTTATTGTACTGAACTGATTGGCTAATGATGAGTTGTAATCCATAGTGTGTAGCCTAAATAGGATCTGAGCATCTTCCTGGCTCCTTAATCGGAAACTCAGTCTCCTAAAAGACTTTCTTACGCTTTTATTCAGCAGCCTGACTCTGAAGTTCCTTTTTCAACAGATTGAAAAATTCAGTGCAGATGTTGCCAGGTAACATGGTTGTATCATGTTAATAAAATAGCCATCTTCTTTTGTCATCCAGGAGGTAAATCTTCAGATAAGCAAATCAAAGACTTAGACAAAAGGATAGTAGCCAGTGTGAGCAGCTACATGGAGCTTGAGCAGCTCATCTGGCATTCACAGCAGGACTGGCTACTGAGCTGCTCACTGTAAATCACATCACTACCACCTGAAGTGTGTCTGTGGTGTAACACACTTCAGGTGTAACACCCTAAACAGAGCACCAGAAACCCATGAGTCAAAACGGATGTCTTTCTGTCCCCTTAGAGCTGGCTGTGTTCACCTTTTTCTCCATTGCTGCATGTCTCTGAAGTATCTTTGGTTGACAAATGAAGAACAGTTAAATTTCACTGTATTTTGGGGGCTCTGAAAAAGCTTTCTGCTGGGAGTTAGGGCCTCTGTGAGGCTTTTCACATAGTTATACAAGTCTTCCCACGACCCCCAAAGCAAAGTAAAATTATTCTTGACTACAGTTGAGGGATAGGTCATTGTAATTAAACCATTTTTAAAAACAGTTGCTGTTAGAAATTCTTCTGTTTGGGGCTGCTGCCCATTTTTGCTTCTTTAGTCTAATCCTAGCTACACATCCCAAGGGCATCTTTCAATGCCAGGACTTCTTCATGTGATACTTCTGTTATTGCCTAAGGTCTTGTTTCAGAAGCCAGAACTAGGCGAAGAGAATCTCTTTGGCAAATTGTATTGTCAGCCTATCATAGACAGCTCTGTGCTGTTTACTTCGTACCCCAAATTTGTAACAAGATCTAAAATTACTTTTTTGCACTTCAATCTATATTGTTGCTTTTGTTTTCCTCCAAAGACCGGTATGTGTCCTGGGGAGACGGGGCTACGTACTATGAATGTTAAAAGCAATCAGTGACTGCCTCGACAGGACTAAGCTATTTAGAAAGTCAAACAGACTGTTTGTGGCCTTTAGATAAAGCTCCAAAGGTCAGGCCATCTCGGCTCAAAGCCTGTCGAAGCAGATAAGGCTGTGCATCCAGGAATGTTATGAATTAGCTGCTGCTCCCACACTTGAACCTTTTGGGGAGCGTTCAGCTAGGGTACATCAGTTTCAATGGCATCTATCCGTAATATGCCCTTATCTGAAATCTACAAGGCTGCTGTGTGGAGGCTCACTTCATACACTTCATACCGTCACAAATCACTGTTGTCTTGATACTGCATCTGGAGCAGATGCAGGTTTCTGATGGGCTTTGCATCAGCCATGGCTGAGCTCTTGGCTCTTGGCCGCCCTGCTCCCAGCCCTCTGGTGGGTCCTGCAACAGGCCAGCCCCTGAAGACTGTTGGCCCCAGCCCCTAGCTGTGTTTGAGTCCCTTTACACTGCCTTTGCAGGGCGAAGGAGCCCCGTAGCAGCTCAATTTCCCTGCCAGGAATCACTGCCTGCCCTGTTCACAGCGATGGCCCTGCTGGCATGCTTCCCTTCCTGTTTTTGCTGTTGAGAAAATGGGTGGACTTCACACCCACACTTAATCCATCTCCTTTGTGAGGAAGCATCGTGACCCTTTTAATTCCACCCAAACACAGTGTTCATGCCCTGGGGTTTGTCCGAATACCACACAAACTTTGAGATAATTATCCAGAAGCTGAGCACCCAAAGCCTCTTACACTGGAAAGAAGGATGGGGTTGCATCAGAGGTTTGTGGATTGGTGAGCATCATCCTTATAAGGACAAAATAACTTAGATTTAGTCTGTTTGGACCTCTCCAGTTGCTGCGAGCAGGGTTTTTTAATCTGTGAAGATTGTAATGAGATTGACAGTATCTAGTGTTGTGGCATCCAGTGTCATACCTTCTTGCTGGAGTTCTTTGGCCAAGGGACCAGTTACTGCAGATGTAGGAAAAGCACCCATCCGTGACATCAGCTATTAATCATTTGGGAATTGCAGAGGGGTCAGTAAAGCAGCAGCTCTGCTGAGCATACCGGGTCGCTGGTGGGATGCTGCTGGTGATGAGGACTGACAAGCACATCCCCACGGCACAGGGCCTGGGAGAGTGGGGAGAGGAGTGGTTGTCACACCTTGTGCTTTCTGCCTGCCCAGCACCAAGTGACTGCTTGCCTCTCTCTCCTCCTTGCAGCTTTAACTTCTCCCAAACCCAACCTGATGGGTCTGCCCAGCACAAGCGTCCCTTCGCCTGGCCTCCCGACCTCTGGATTACCAAATAAGCAGCCGCCGGCCACACTGAGCTCGCTCACCCCGGCACAAGCCACCGCAGCCGTGGCCCCGCAGCAGCCGCCAGCAACGACGCCGCAGCCGCAGCAGACACCCCAGCCACAGCGTAAGGAGAAGGAGAGTGAGAAGGCAAAAGAGAAGGAGAAGGCACCCAAGGGGAAGGCGGAGCCCCTGCCAGGGCCCAAGAAGGAGAAGGGGGAGGCAGCGGTGGGTGCCCTTTCAGCCCCACTACCCACCATGGAGTACGCCGTGGAGCCCACCCAGCTCCAGGCGCTGCAGGCCGCCCTGAATTCAGACCCCACCACCTTGCTAACGAGCCAGTTCCTTCCTTACTTCGTCCCCGGCTTTTCCCCCTACTATGCCCCGCAGATCCCTGGCACCCTGCAGAGCGGGTACCTGCAGCCCATGTACGGGATGGAGGGGCTCTTCCCATACAGCCCAGCGCTGTCACAGGCACTGCTGGGGCTGTCCCCCGGCTCCCTGCTGCAGCAGTACCAGCAATACCAGCAGAGTCTGCAGGAGGCATTGCAGCAGCAGCAGCAACAGCAACGGCAGGCGCAGCAGCAGCAGCAGCAGCAGCAGCAGCAGCAGAAAGTGCAGCAGCCCAAAGGAAGCCAAACCCCCGTCCCCGCGGGGGCTGCCACCCCGGACAAAGACCCTGCCAAAGAACCCCCCAAGCAAGAAGAGCAAAAGAACGCACCCCGCGAGGTGTCCCCCCTCCTGCCCAAACCCCAAGAAGAGCCCGAAGCAGAAGGCAAGGGCGCAGACTCCCTCTGCGACCCCTTCATTGTCCCGAAGGTGCAGTACAAGCTGGTCTGCCGCAAGTGCCAGGCGGGCTTCAGCGACCAGGAGGCGGCCAGCGACCACCTGAAGTCCCTCTGCTTCTTCGGCCAGTCCATGGCGAACCTGCAAGAGATGGTGCTTCACGTGCCCACCGGCAGCAGCCAGGGCAGCGGCTCGTACCAGTGCGTGGCGTGCGAGAGCACGGTGTGTGGGGACGAAGCCCTCAGTCAGCATCTCGAGTCAGCCCCGCACAAACACCGAACAATCACCAGAGCAGCAAGAAACGCCAAAGAGCACCCCAGTCTATTACCTCACTCTGCCTGCCCCCCCGACCCCAGCACCGCATCTACCTCGCAGTCGGCCGCTCACTCAAATGACAGCCCCCCGCCCCCCCGGGCCCCCCCGGCTTCCCCCCACGCCGCCAGAAAGCCCTGGCCCCCGGCAGCCCCCCGCGCCCCACCGGGGAAGCCACCGCCGCCGCCTTTCCCTCCTCTCTCCTCATCTTCAACGGTTACCTCAAGTTCATGCAGCACCTCAGGGGTTCAGCCCTCGATGCCAACAGACGACTATTCGGAGGAGTCTGACACGGATCTTAGCCAAAAGTCAGATGGACCGGCGAGCCCGGCGGAGGGGCCCCGGGACCCCGGCTGCCCTAAGGACAGTGGTCTAGCTAGTGTAGGAATGGACACCTTCAGATTGTAAGCTTTGAAGATGAACAATGAAAATGAATTTAAATGAAAAAAAAAAAGTTAATAACAAACCAATTTCAAAAATAGACTAACTGCAATTCCAAAGCTTCTAACCAAAAAAAAGAAAAAAGAAAAAAAGAAAAAGCGTGGGTTGTTTTCCCATATAACGATGCCGGTGGGTTTTACATTTCTTTTTTTCCTTTCCTTTTACTAAAATAAAACTACAAAAAAAAAAAAAAAAAAAAAAAAGAAGAAAAAAAAATCTGTTACATTTGTCCTTTCGAAGGTACTGTTGGTCTGGGAGACAAAAGCCTGTGCTGTCTCCTCACTGTCTTCGGAGCTTGAGTCCCTTGTATATTGCCCCTTTTCAACCGCCCCACGTCGATAGCACAGCAGAGGCCGGCACGCACTGTATGGGAAAGCAGCCCACCTTGTTACAGTTTTAAATTTCTTGCTATCTTAGCATTCAGATACCAATGGCTTGCTAAAAGAAAAAAAGAAATGTAATGTCTTTTTATTCTCAGGTCAATCGCTCACACTTTGTTCTGTTTTCAGAATCATTGTTTTATATATATATATAATTTCTTTCGTTTGTTTTGGGGGTTTTTTGTTTCATTTTGTTTTTGTTCCAGAAGAGGATTTTTTTTTTCTTTTCCTTTTTATTTTTATTTTTATTTTTCTCTTTCTCTTTTTTGTTGGTTTGTTTGTTCTTGGGGGATCTTGGGGGGGTTTATTGGGGATTTGCTGTTTCTGGGGGGGTTTTTTGTTGTTATTGTTGTTTATTTAAAATGGGCAGAAAGTATTCAAGAGAAAAACAATGTGAACTGCTTTAGCTTTTTTGGGGATCTTAAGGGTAGCTTTTCTGCTGAAGCGAATTTCAAGGGGAAGAGTTAAGCACTCCCACTCTTCAGAGAAAAAACCCACACAAAGAGTGTTGAAGACTCTGAACTTAAAAAATAAGTTTTAAAACAACTGACTTTCTGTATTTATGATAGATATGACCATTTTTGGTGTTGAGTAGATTGTTGCATTGGAAATGAACTGAGCAGTATGGTAGATTTAAAAGAAAAAACCCTTTTGTGTACATTTAGCTTTTGTATGGTCCAGCTGACGGCTTCTCATTTGATGTTGTCTTGTTCATTCCTAGCCAGGTAGATTGCAATCCATTGACTCACCTAAGCTTTTCTCCTCTTTGTACCTTTACTGTCCGTTCCCCCATCCTGTAATCTTCCACTTATGGTCGCTACCTTCATTTCTTAGAGGGTGGTTGCATAATTATTTTATAAAAACTAAAGAAAGAAGTTCAAAGGGTTTTGGGGGGTCAGTAGGATCCCTTGCAGAATATTTTTTGTTGGGGGTTTGAAACTTTTTAAGGCGTATACATACGATTTACCTATGTCTGTTACCCTTGTGCACTTATCTCTTTCTTAATTTCCATTTTTCCTTTTTTTTTCTTCTTCTTCCCTTCTTTTTTTCCTCATTTTGTAAATGCTTCAAAGACTCTGTTCCTGAACTATAAGCATTTGTTTCTGTTTGTGTAATTAGGCTGCACTCTGTTCCTTCTTTTAAGAGAAGTTTTTGTTACTTTTTTTTTTTTCTCTAAAGAAAATTCATGCTTTAAATAAAATCCAAAGACATACCCTTTCACCACTGGTGCAGAATGAGCAAAAAGGATTCTTTTTACTTGAGAATTTGTTTCTGATTTAAACAAACAAGTCTAAGTTTAAATAAAGAATAAAAAAAGTACCCAGGTTGTTATCTGTGCTTCTTCTGCAAGCAGAGAGACAACTCTTAGCGAAACCCCAGTGCACCAAAAGGCAGGTTTCTCTTTCCAAGTTCCCTCCCGTGGCAGGCACTGGTGTCCCCGTCCCGCTCCATGCCCCACTCGTGGAATGCGCGGACGCGTGCATGCGTCTCGTACGGTCCGGACTTTGAAAGGCAAACTTTGTGCTGCTAAAATGTAGGTTTTGGAGACAAATAGATGCTGTTTCACTCCCGTAGCCAAATGTCAACAGAAACAATCTCCTTTCCCCCATCCCACCCCTCGTTTCCTCCGAAGTGCAAGAGCCTTCTCCCCATCATCTTCATCATCCTCCTGCTTCAAAAAGGAACTTCGAAGACGTGAACGCAGGTTCTTTCCATCGCCTCTGGCTTCTCCTCCCTGTGCTGAAGCCACTCGTCAGCCCTGCGAGAGACTGGAGCATTCGAGAGATGAACATGGGGTTCATTTTCTAGCAGGACACTTTTATTTTCATGGAGTTTTGGGTTTAGTTCAATGAATGACTACATCCTGAGCTGTTGTACATATTTCTAACTAGGCTAATGCACAGTGCAAATTCCTTTTTTAATTGTTTTTTTAAGTAGACAGTACTAAAGAGAGTACCATCTAATATTCCTACCAGAACCCAATTGTAGCATAAGGTGTCAAAAATGGAAACAAGTACACAAAAAGAGTTTGCTGTTTTAACAAACTGTTTTCTTTTAACAAAAGTTCTTGTATTTCTCCCTGTGTTTGAGATGAACATTTTTTAAATTCTAAAGTTGTACAGTTTTTGTTTTCCATTATTTTATCTTGTTTGTAATTCTATGAAATCTATATATATATATATTTTTTGCCATTTAACTGTTGTATGTTACTCTATCTGTATCATATAGAAATTTTTTGTTTGTTTTGTTTTTGATTCTGTGTGATCCAAGTTAACAATTTAACACTAGCTTTATCTGTCCAATCCCACAGGGTCTCTTTTGGAAATCCTTTTGTTTTGTCTCATTATGTTTCTTTTTTTTTTTTTTAATTATATTGCTTGGTCATAGTGCAATTTCTCTCTCTTTCTTCTTCCCCCTCCTCCTTCCCACCACTAAAAGGTTTTATAAATTGATTTCCTCGTATTTTTTCTAACTGTTTCTAGAGACACTCGGTGCGAGGTAGCCTCCTCCTCATGCAGTGCTAGGACCCATCCCCCAGCGCTGCTGGCCACCCTGGCCTAAGGTGGGGACCCCCGGCCCTGCTGGGACACCCCTGGCACCGTGCCCTACCACAAGCCTGGCCACCCTGCCTCGGGAGCCCCTGTGCCACCCCAGAGCCCACACATGGCCTTTCCAGCCTGTGTCAGAGCAGGGCTGGGATGGGCGCAAGGAGAATATTCTGAACTTGGCATTGAACAGGTTTCTGGTTTATTCTGAGTAAAAAGCTTTCCTAAGTGGTGAAAATGGCCAAAGTTTCATACAATTGAGAATCAAGAGTAGGGTGTGTTGGGGCTGCCCATGCCTGAGGCAGGCGTTGACACAAGCCAGCACACACGCTGTCCGTGGAAATATATTTTGCTTTAAAAAGAAAACCTAAACTTTCAAATAGAAGCAGAAGTTGGGTTGGTTGGTTGGATGGATGGTTTGGTTGGTTGGTTGGTTGGTTTGTCAGCGCTTAGATACTGCCCACTGTGAACACAAAGCTTTGACTATTTTTTTCACTTTTATTTGGGGGGGAGGGTGAGGTTGGGTAGAACAGAAAGCATTAATGTGGTAAAGAGGGATACAAACAGCCTTTGCAATGTACAAAAAATAGAGCAAGTGAAACCAAAAATGATGTTCTTGGTGTTTTTCTATAATGTAGTCTTGTTAGCTTTTTTTTGTTACTGTAACAATGCTGATCTCAAACTGTACCAAAATACATGGAGATAAACAGAAAACCACGTGGGACTTACTTTCAAAACTTTACAGAATTTGTCACAAAAGACTTTGTTGTCATAGTTGAGTTGACTGTAGATGGTAATTGAATATACTCCTTTGGAAATATTTCATCACGTATGTTTCCTGCTCATTGTGATACATTAAAGACAAAAATGAGCAAAAGCTCTCGTCTCCGATGTCCGCGCTTGTGCGGTGCAGGGTCTATGTTGGGGTGGGTGCGTGCCGTGCCATGCTGTGCCGTGCCACTTGGATCGGCTTGAGCTCCTGCATCCCACAGCTCTTGTGCACCCACCAGCACATGCCAGCACATGCGTCCATGTCCCTCCCCACATGCGGGTTCTTGGGCTGACGCCACGAATTGATGCTGAAGTAGAAGGAATGAGCCAAATGGCGCAATCCATTCATGGCTTTGGGATGCATTGTGTATGAAAAAGACATTACAAGTGCTTTAATTTCACTAAATGATTGTGTGACAATTCTGGGCACGCTGCTGTAATTACTGGTTAAAGGGAAAGCATGATGCCTTGATGGGCTGAGGTCATCTGGAAGCCTGAAAGCCAGAAGTGAACTAAAATCACCATCTGTTTTCTTCTACTGATCAAACCAAAAGGAGATGAAGGTAAGAAAGGTAAGTGGCTGACTCACTGCTCTTCCCTTTGCTTCCAGTGCCTCTTGAGCAAGGAGGAAACCTTGATGAAGTACCAAGTGTTAAATACACAATTCTGCCACCAAAAACTGCCCCTTGCAGCAGAAAACACTTGAAATTCATTAATAAGGAGACCACATCCGAAAGAGAGCCACAGAGGCCACCGTTCATCTCTATTTCATTACAGCAATAAATAAACAACAGAGCAGCCCATTGTAAGCAGGACAGGCAGGCTGCTCAGTACGGGCGGCCTTGGCCATACTGCTGCCTCCCTGACAGTGAGTGGCTTCCTCTTGCTCCCTGGGGAGCAGAGCCTGAGCTCCACAGGGTCATCTGGCCCGAGCAGGGGTCCTGGGGAGGAAATCTTGCAGATGGCAAGAGTATGGAAGCATGCTTTAGTTAATTGGGTTACTCACTGGCAAGCAGGTCAGTTCAGTAACCAGGCTGCTGATGCACCTTCACAAAAAAAGAATACAAAAGCAAGAAAAAAACAGCACTCGGACAGATTCAGGCTCAAAAGAAGCATGACTTCTAAAACAAGGTGGGTCAAGATTGCCAAGCCCCGATGACTCCTGCTGCTGCAGCAGACCCCAACCAAGGCAGCAGGGCCCCGATCCCAGTGCACAGCTCTGAAAGAGACCGTGTACCCTGGTGATGGGAATGATCACACCTGGCTGTGTGCTGCAGCTCAGCACCCCAAAACAGGCCCCATGCCAGGCTGCCCAGTCCTGCCCTGCTCTCCCATCATGACCCTGGATAGTGGGCTCTGGGTTTCCGCTGAGCCATTTGAGTATTTTTTAATGGCAAAAATCCATCCTGAATTTCCTGCAAGTGGATGAGGCTGTGGCAGTAATGGGGTCACCAGCACGACCCTTCCGCCGGCATTTGCACTGTGTCACGTTAATGACTTCAGTGTTGTTCACAGATCTTTGTAAGTTTATTATGTAACACTGCTATTTATTCCTGGTTGAATTCCAGTTTAAAACAGCTATGCTTGAGAAAGCACCTCTCCAATGCTCAGAAAGGTGTAAATGGCCTCTGGTAGTTGCATAAGCTGCAAACTAAAAAACTCAGTGATAGCCCATCTGTTCAGAGCTGTGCACCAGTAGAGATTGTGCAAACCTCTAACAGAAAGAGGGGTTTCCATGCTGCGATTCTGGTAAGAGGAGACCAGGAGTGTGATTGACCTTGCATTGACATCACCTAAAAGACAAGAGATTTAGCTCTTCCTAGGCCAAAAAAATACACTTTT